GTCGAAAATATGTAGTTGCAAAATTTCGGCAATTTGCAGTCCTTGAAAATATGCATTCATAGAAGTTCAAGTAACAAAACGAAATTTGAAAAATCATGAGCGTGCTGAAAAGGGGACGTGGCTGTCGGGGGGGGGAGGGCTTGCAGTAGTGTACATATACTGCGATCGGTGAGTAATTGTCCAGTGGAAAAAGTAAAGGTGAATTTGATTCGAAAATCGCTGAATTTGATACGAGAAATGGTGGATTCAAAATGAAAATGCTAGTAGTACATCGCAGAGCGTGATCGCATTTGCATGCGAAATCCTTGCGCCATGTTCTCGGACCCCTTATCAAGCAAATGTGGCGCCCATTGAGAGTCTTGGAGCAACTTCCAACTACAATGATTTCTGCTGATCGGCCATTATTTGCATTGGTCTTGCTGGCCATGATGAGGCGCGTCAGCTGGGCTGGGTTTGGCGCGCTGCACCACCGTACTTCACCAGCTTGTTGGAGCGGGTGTGCTACGACCAGGGTACAGCATCGTGATGTGTGAAATGGTGGTGTAGGTACGACCCCTACCCTCTCGAGGGAGGGTCTTGGTACGACCCCCCCCCCCTCCCCAACACTTACCCAAAGATTTCCCGTCGAGCGGGAGGGGGTAAATATAGCCATTCTGAACGGAAGAATTTCTTGGACTTTCCCCAACTTCCTACCACATTCCGGAATTTACTGAAAATTTCCCTACTTTCACCCAAAAATTTTGCTCTCGAGCGGGGAGGGGGAAGGAGGATTTTTTTCAAAATTCTTTCAAGGCTACATACGGCCCCTCTCCCAACAACGACCATACGACCCTCTCCCTCCCCAGCCAAAAAGTACGACCCCTACCTGATGGAAACGGCTACTAGGAAGATGATAGCAGTGCTTGCCCGCTCGGGCAGAAAAGAAAAAAGAAAAAACGGTGATTGGACTGCCGCCAAACCATATCCCCTTTGGGACACGTCCCCTCCCTTCGTAGCGAACAGGGACTTATTCTATAAGATGTTTCGTGAGCTCGCATCGCGAACTTGATTTAAATGTGAGAGGTGCGCGAGGCCAAAACGCCTATTTTTACCGATGCAAAATCAACAAAATTAAATCGTGAATAAAATGCTTGTTTTAGTTAACAGGAATCATCACTAAAACATCTCATCTTTTATGCAAAACTCTGGGTTCAAAAGGATGCTGTTACTCCTCTTAGGCTGACCCGATATGAGTAAGTGTAGCATCGTCTCCGGGCAGTTCTGCTACAAATTGACCGATCATTAAACTTTTCGGAGACCTGACTAGCCTAAGTGTGATTCATTCCGTGCCGAGCCTCGGCACGTGTTGCGCACTTAGTCACTGCACCACGTGCACCCTTTCACCGAAAGACAACATACTTACACTGGTATGACGGGTGGCAGGGTCATGGAAAGCATCGGAAAGGACGGTTTGTCCTCCTCTGTCGCACTTTCTTCGTATTCCGTTTCATAATCTTCTGGCCCAACAGATGGATTCGGATTTGAGGAAAAAACACTGAAATCCAGTGAAGTGAATATTGTGACCGGGAAGTATTGCATTGTGACAGTCTTACATGGAGGACTCAGCCACACCCGTCTCGCAGTACATCTCATCGGATCCATCGCTGCATTGAGGAACACCATCGCAAAGCTGAATATTCAATGAATAAAATCAGCATAAGCATAGTAGACATTTCAAAGGTGCACCTGAGTTATGGGGATCTCTTCTGTACGGCTTTGGCAAGTGAACACTCTTTTGTCTTGGCTTTTCCTACAAACAATAAAATTGGAGGCTGCAAGGAAAAAAGGCAGGACTTTCGCTTACTTGCAGAGCATTTCATCCTCTCCGTGGGGACACTGGCGTTTGCCATCACAGCGTTCCTCGTCGGGAATGCATTCACCACTTTTTGCGCAGTGGAATAAGCCATTACCACAAACAAAATATAAGTTTATCACAAGAATGCTGAGTTGTGGGCAAAAGTCGTGCCCCAGGCGGGAGTCGAACCCGCACCTCACGCTTTCCGGGCGAGTGCGCTATCCGTTACGCCACCAGGGCCGCTTTTACCCTCTCAGCTTAACGGCTTTTATGCCGTAGCCTA